TTGGAAAAAGTTAATAAATGCAGAAGTTCGTCGGCCGAATATCTAATCAAAGTACTTCCACTGCGGACATGATTCACTCTCGACAATGTGGTTTGCTGTTTTGAGACATTTCTTCATATCAGAAGCGTTGCCGTACGCATTAAAACTAATATCGGAAAACGCTTTCTCTCGGTAAATGTTCTTTATGTATATCTTATTTTAAAGGTTTTTGAGTAAACGTCGAACAGATACGCAATTTATAAATTTATCAGTGAACACAGTCAAAACAAGGAAAATGATGACACACTTTTTTCGACGACATTCAACATATACTTATCCAGTAACGGTTAAATTTAGAGAATATTTTAACTAAAGAAAAGTTCTTTCTATATATCGAAAGTGGTTACTTCAAGTTTTCAACTTAAAACAATATCTAAATTTATTGTTCTAATTTAAAGCTCTTTTTTACGTCTCTAGAACCATATGATTATCGAGAAAATTTTATTTTTCTTTACAAACACTTAGTAATTCCTATAGTTAAGAAAATTTTATTTTTCTTTACAAACACTTAGTAATTCCTATAGTTCTTTTAAGTACTTAATATGTCTAATTGCACTATTATTTCTAAATTTTCCTAAATGCATTTACACTGATATTCGAGTAATGATAAAACTTATACAAAATTATGAAAGTCGCATGGCCTTTGGCGACTACTGTAGTTCGTTTGTTGATGGAATCCACAGGCTCCGTTAGCGGGGGCGGGGTTGGAGTACTCGCTCGATATGTCCGTGTCCGGCCGACGTACTCGTGTGTCGTGTTGTTGTCACGTGATGCTGATGGTAACGAGCTCCACTGGCTGGCGAGTCCGAGATGGCGTCCCCTTGTGAACGTTCTCGTGATTCAGCGTAGCTGCACGTGAGACCCCTAATAACGAACTGAACCATCTGTGCGTCACATCAGCTCTCAGCCAGGTGGCCGAAACTAGGTCCTAGACTGCCTCCTCTGTACCTAAGCCGACTTTGACAAATACAAGGACGGAATTGAGGCCCTCAAGATACTAAAATAAACTGGCATGTGGACATCGTTGCCGTGCTAATGCAACTCCACCTTTCCTAGAGCAGCCACCTCAGAATAATGCCTTATGAACGCGTGCCCAAGTAAGTGACCGCGTCGATTTCGCTATAGGAGCTCGTCGACAAGTTGAACAGGTCGAACGTTACAAGAACGCATTGCCGTTTCACTATTATTTCTTTGAATCGAAGAAACCTAGCATACTCTCACGCAGGACCGTAGTAGGGAGTGGTGTAGCGGTTCTCAATGAATGTCAACAGAATGCAACATGCCGGGAGGAGATATAAGAAAGATAGAACTAGCATGCCTTTGAAGCGTCCTTGCATTTCTTAGCCATGCTTTCCTCGGACGCCGCGGGGACAGGCCACATGCCTAGCAGGTCCACCACGCGTGCGCAAGAGACGATATTAAAACCCCCCGTTCAAGGTCATCATTGGTTTGGCTCACTGACCAACCACCACCCAAGGCCAGTGCACAACTGGACCCTAGTACGGGGGATTGCTGACGGTCAGACACTCCCCAAGCGGCCCGCTCATGGCTGGACTTGCAATCGTCTGGGAGTCACTTACCTATTACTTACACTCTACTCCTGTTACACCTTATTAAATTATCCCTAACAATCTGGCCTTCCCCGCCTTATATTATCAACTTGCTTATAACTGTTGGGATACGTTCTACCGTCTATTATCCAGCCGGATTACATCGTATCCCGCATTATTGACCCCGACGCTACTATACTCTACACCTACATAAGCCTGGGAAGTATTAATTTCTTGTCACATGTGATCGCAGCCACAATACATCAGGGGTTCATCTTCGCTAGAACTGCAACGCTACTAACAACAATAAAAACACTCATATTGTATCGAAGGACTTCGAATTGGCTGACCAGCGGCCCGCTCCGGGAACGCACGAACCGTAGCAGGATCGCCCTGGTCGAAACGCAGCGCGTCCATTTCTATACATCTAATGTTTCCCATTAGATTAATTCCGTCTGGAAAAATCAAACTACCTGAACTTCCGAACCTGACCAAAGTCAGACTACCAAAGTTAACCTAGCAAGTATATTAAGCTGACTTGACTAGATGCGTACCTTCCGACGTCCAAATGGGAAATTCTGTTGATGGAATTTTCGATGTGGCGGCTACGAAGTCTGATTTCATGCACGCCTTTCTCAGTTACAGCTTCCCTTGATTAGTCGTTTGCTACGAATTCACACCTCAACCCCTCCCGTCGGTTCGACGTTGAGCTATACTTTTTACGGAGGCGGGAACCTCCATGGACTCACGGCCGTCGGCGAAACGAACAAGCCAACTGAGTCATGCCCGCATAGAAGCCGCCCACGCCGTGCTTAGAGCAAACGCGATGACCGCCCACAGCCTGGGAAGTGATCGCAGTCTGGAGGTTTCAGGAATGCCCACCAGCACAAGCTACGCCAGGAATGTTCTAGAAAAACCAGAACCTCATCAATACGCTAAAGTGGAGAAGGTAGGAAAAACTGCTTTGTGTGGTGTTGAATAAAGCCATTGCCACTAGAAACGCTCTCTTGCCCTCTTCTGTTTACTAATCGGGTTAGAACAACTGAGCTATAACAATAATAGTCTCCCGAAAGTATTTTTTAGCGTCCGTTAACTTCAGTCAAAGTACCAGAACTATTTAAGTTTAGCTGTGCTTAAACCCCTCATCCTTTTTAACACGATCTACCACAGTCTCCCAATCATCACCATCGCTTATTACGGGTGACCTATCTGTGCAGCTGCAACGGTCAACTTGTCAACAAACTGATAACGAACGCATTACCTTAGCTTTACCTGAAGCTCTCTGGTTCAGTGTCCTGGCCTATAGAAGCACCAGAATTAAACTTAGGAAAACTGGGTCTTTGGGTAAATATAGTTGGCCCGCAGTTCTACAGGTTAGACACGGAAGATGGTAGCTTTGCGCTAAATTTCACAGGTGCCTATTCTCATGTCCTACTGTTTAATGTGTCACTGAGAATAACAATGAACATTTTGAGTCGGAAACCAGATGGCTCAAGCCATCACACCAATATACATGGGTCTCAAGGCTGGAGGCGTTCCAGAGCAGAATCGGAAGAAGGGAGTCGACCCCAATCTGCGCGTAATGCTTGCCTCTCACGACTGCTAGCAAGTACGCAAGCACCACAACCTGCCTACTCCAATCCGGCTGGCCAATTACTTTCAAGGCTGACTCACACAGGACCTCACGGTAACAACTGATACGTTCAAGCACTTAGGACGCTGCCCCTCCCGGGTGCGGACGCACGCTCGCCCGGCTGCCAACTGCCCCCAACTTATTTTCCACCACCTCCGTGCAGAGTATACTATTCTTCCCATCCGGCGTCTCACTTCTTCTCTTCCCACATGGAACCGGAACTGAAGGTCGCAGCAACAAGGGTTCTACCTATTAACCTAAGCCACTGTGATAAGTATACGGTTATCCTTGATTCGTTAGCTCATGAAAGAGTGTAGTGACTAGCTCCACACGAAGTGCATTTGTAAACGCTTGTTATGACTAGTTCAAGTCGAAGTGCACTTTTGGAGCGCTCGTTGTTTCCGATCTCTGTAACAGCCAAACACAGACCGACTCACACCGAACCTTATTTGACGACCGCCGACAACCTCATTTCAGACGCCGTCCGCTGGCTTGCGGTTTTGCGGTCGTCTGGTTGTCAATTTACTACTGCCTATCCTCTCAGTTATTCTGTACAGAATATATCCCTCCTACTACTCTGGCGCTCCGAATACTGCTTTCTCATCTCCTAAGGAACCGGGCCTGGAAGATCGCAGCCGTTAGGGTAAAGCTTACTAGCCCTAACATTCCCTCGATAAGAGCACCGATAACTAGTTCTGCGGTCCTCCTCTGCTCTAAACACAATTTGGCGGTTGCAGGTCATAATCTATCGTGTTATTTTCAACTTGTCATTAGTATCGTCATGTACTTCCGCCAAACTGAATATATTTATTCCATTAGCAGTGAACAACTTCAAGCGAATTAGAACCATAGTAAAATACAGTAGTTGAATATCAACATGCATGGGACAAGTTGATGGTGTACATAGAGAGCTGCGAGAAGTGACAAAAGATGTGTAACAAAAAAAAAACAAAACAAGAAACTGTTTTGGCAAGCGCATCACTGGACGGTGACCCAATAGCGTCTTAACGCATAGGAGTCCGCGAAATAGCATCCGAACAGACAGCACTCGGTTCGGCAGGGGCACCGGCGGAAGGCGAGTCCGTCTGCTCATTAGTCTGAGATTCGTTCACGCCTTCGGCATTCCAAGCTAACAGGACGCTCATCGCGTCAGTGAGTCTGCGAATAGAATCGCGAGTTAGGTTCACGGAGCACATTGGACAGCTGAGATCTGGATGGCTTTCCAAGAACCTGGAAAAAATGACAGAAAAAATGACGCAAAGCTTACAGCCTCGGCCTAGAGCACTTTTCTTCAGCGTGGAACTTGAACATATGCCCCAGGAACTATAGGCGTTGGTACTCATTGTTTCATAGTCTAAGATGTACCACTTAGACTTACAAATCAACATTTAAGGCCTGCTGACTAAATGAAAGGACTTGAAAGAGGAAATAAACGAAAGTGATTACATGTTTATAACTGCCAGCGCAGGTAATCACAGAACGCTGAGGGCATCATCGCATGACCAACAGTCACTCCTGACTATGACAGCTGAAGCTCACTAGCACTTGTACTACATTCACCACAGCATACAGCAGGCTCTCGAAAAAAGAATGCGGCAATTAAGGTCTGTCCTTGGTAGTCATCAGGCACAACTATTTATTGAATACCACCGATGAGTTATAACACCTGGCTTTAATTTGCTGGGTTGTCACTAAATCGGCTACCTTCCACATGCATTTCTCACGTAAGTGTCACGTAATGGCAGTCTTGGTCGCCCAGTTGCGCAATGGCTCATGTCCGCGTGCGACGCGCAACCTTTGCCATAGCGCGACTGGGGCGCACACACGCACTCCAGACTAGATAGGCCAATCGTCGTCCTGAGTTTGACTCACACAAAGCCCACTCTGGGCCCTTCTGACAACTCCCGC